AAAAAGGGCGGGGGCATTCTAAGGCTTGGCACTGAGCTGCTTCTCATGCAGTATTTGAGGAACACATGAATGGACAAACTGAAAATAAAAACTACAGAGAACTCTCACAATAATGGCAGTCACAGAGGAACATTCAACAAACAACGCTGCTACACCTACACGTGTCTACTTGTACTGAGTGAGCCCTGACCATCTCATGAGGTGAGTTATCCACTCCTTTTTAACTCAGACTGAGGACAGTGCTTTGCAATCAGATACATCTGAAGGTGCGCCCAGAGTTGTCAAGCTGGCAGAAAAGCTGACCTTTAGTAGGTGAGAGCCAGTTTTCAATTTTCCTAGTGTCCTGAACAAACCCACAGAATGAAACTGTCCAACCTGCTACCAACTACTGAGAATCACGGAACAGATCCCCAAAGCCGACCAGCTCCTGATCACTCTATCCATATATTCAATTTCAAAATCCATATATCTATCTATCTAGTTTTGTCTAAACATAAATCCACATCAGATTCTCATGCTAAAAGCAGCAGCAGCCGAGGCTGCCTTCTCAGAAAGGCACCGCAGTAAAGTAGAAAGTGACATCATTTCCAACTCAATGTTCATCCATTTCTGTTCTGTAATTTCCTGGGCACTTGCAGCCTGACTCACTCCTTGAGATTTCATAGAAAGCAGCCAAGCCCTTTTCCAGTGCCCATTCTGCCTGCCACATCTGTGTGGGGGTCCACGAGACTCATATCACTACCTGTGTGGTCATGGTAACCCATGGGGTTTCCCGTTTTCGGGTCTTTCGCCCATGATTCTGTTGCCTGACTAAATACTTTCTGCCTGCCAAACATCATCTTATCTTCTTAAATGACTTCCAGGGCAAAAACACCTCCGGGCTAAAATTCAGTTGGCTTACTGTGTGTGTGTGTGTGTGTGTGTGTGTGTGTGTGCGTGTGAAGCTGTCCATCTTGTTGTTTGTGACAGTGTCTCTCCCTGGAACCTGAAGTTCATCCATTTTCCTAGACTGCCCTGCCAAGTACACACCACTATTGCTGGCTTGTACATGGATTTTTAGGCTTGCATAGCAAGCACATTGCTAACCCAGCTATCTTCCCGGCCCTCTAATTAGCTTGTTTCTACTCTCAACTCAATTAGGATCGTTATCCTAATCAGGACTTTCCCCCAACATTCCCACAATCTACTATCATTTCCCAAACCATGGTGATGCCTACAGTTTTTCCTGCACGGGGCTTTTCCAATTCTTCATACTCCTGCCATTCTGTATCCTTATCTACGGATGCATAGAAATGCTTATCAAGGCCTGGGGTTTAATCTAGGATCTGACTCTGTGGAGACAGTAAATCTCCATGCAAGTTTCTGTAGCAATGCTTGACGATGTTTGACTAATTCCAGCCCTTGGATTGGAGCAAGAAGGGTCATATACTCACTTCTTTTGAATTACTTGCCTAGATTCATGGGAATCTGAAATCACACATCTGCCTTTAAATGAAACATCCAACACAACACCTGCATTTTAAAGAGAAAGACCAATTCCTGGTTGAAAAAAGGCAAGATCGGGGCTGGAGAGATGGCTCAGTGGTTAAGAGCACTGGCTGCTCTCCCAGAGGACCCCGTTCAGTTCCCAGCACGTATAAGGCAGCCTACAACTGTCAGGAGCTCCAGTTTCAGGGGATCTGACACCCTCACACAGGCAAACAAGAAGGCAGAACACCAATGCTCATAAAAAATAAGAATAAATAAGTCATTTTGAAACATGTTATAAAAGAAAAAAAGGGCAAGAACTAGAGTTCAGGCAGTCTACAACCCAGTATTTGTGGCCTTCTTATGCCTTGAAAAATGAGCTTCCAGATACAGGGACCAGCATGCAACACTGCATTGCAAATGAAGAGCCCGCCTCATGGAAACAGACTGCCCGGTACCCTGAACTTTGAACAAATCAAGAGCACAGGAAAGGAGGTTATCTGATATTTCCTCTCTTACTGCACACTCCGCAAATTACAAGTTCTAGTTTTCCTTAGTCCTTTAACTATAACGATAAAATGCCCTAATTTTAGCTCCACCCCTTGTTTATATATATTAAAATATGAGCAGGGCCACATTAACTTAAGATGAAGCAATGTGCAAATCCACTCGAGACCCAGGTCTAAGACAGACAATAGCGCAATGAGTTAAAACTCCTACATTCTTTAGTAATGGCCTCTTTCTGACACCGATATCTAGATTACGCATAAAAATCAGATTTTATTTATTTCCCTGTGGCAAATACTGGAAGACAAATTACACCACTATCATATGATGACCTGGTACATAAAATCACGTTTTCTTGTTTCTTATCAGTAAACACATGACAACTTCATGTCCTCCTCAGAGGCCAAGACGGTTGATGAAACAAAGTGGTATCATCCATCATGTGTTGGGCATTAATGTAATAAATAGATTAGATATTTTGCCTCAATATAGGTTAGCTATTCTTTAAGGATTCAATTTTCACTAGCCTTAAATGTCACCATTAGATATCACAAACAGTTTACTCAGTCTTTTGGATGTGTTTTCCTTTCAACTCCACGTAAGCCAGTCAGTCAACTCGGGCTACACTGACATCATGTATGAAGGGACCCCATTAACAAAACGGCTATTTATTATTTTGCTATATAATTAAGCAAATGATATGTTGTTTAGAAGTATTCTTCTTCCCTAAAGCACCTTTTTGGGAAAACATATTCTAGACAATAAAAGTCTAAAATGAGAGTGCACACAAGGACTAGAGGAGACCAGTTAGAAAGAGGGAACCAGAACACACACGACAATGGGCAGGCTGGCAACAAATACGCAAGTTAACCCAATATGGAGTTCTAAAATGTATACACTTAGATATCTGTCTAGTTTCAAAGAACTCAGAAAAAAAAAAAAAAAAAAAAAAACAACCTAATACGTTTGTTAAACTTTGAAAAGGCCTCTGTGGTTTTCCATTATAAATCAGAGTCACAATAGACAAAGCTCTAGGCTCATCCGGTACTCTACCCTCACAGGAGGGGCAAGCTGATTTGCCAGTCTAGAATGTGGGAACAAAGCTCTAAAGGGAGAGAGCAGAAGAGCCTTGGTCAACCGCTCTCAGGGTTTCATTTCAAACATAGCAACTTCTAGAAAAAAGTGACAGCGCCGCTAGAACAGGAAGTTGGCTTCGACTCACTAATGTTTAACCATAAAAAGACATATGAGCCCAAAATGCCCGTGTGGGTGACCATTTTGGACACCTGATCCTTTGAACTAACAATTACTCCAGACCTGGCATGTTAATCGTTCTGTTGGGTCCACTTGCTAATTATGAAAATTAGAGTTTAAGGTGTTTGTAAGACAAATGGCTGCAAATGCTTTAGAGTCAGTTTTTCTGGTGGCACATATATTAAATACCAAAAGTCTGTTAAAAAGTTATATAATAAAACTGCTGAGGCCAGAGAAAACAGAAAGAAAAAGAAAACCCCTTCAAAAGGAAATCAACAGAATCTAAAATTAACTGATCAAATTCATTATTTTTCCTTGGGTCACATAACAGAATTCCTTCGGAGGGCAAAATACTGCAGTTCCAAACAGTCCTTCTAGAACATTGCCCTGTGGCCCTGAAACCGAATTTCGCTGAACTCTGAGAAAATTAACTATTCCTATCTTTACAAAACTAAAATAGAATGTCTTTGTAAAAACAAAAACATCTAAGCAATTGAAGTCAAAGAGCATTCTAGTCTCAACAGTTTAGCTGCCTGGCCAAGAGTAGTTTATGCCCCTGGCAGAAAGCACCAACTTCAGGCTCTGCCATTAGAGACTGGCCTGCCCTGCATGTGTTTGCTCTGCATTTCCCCGAAAAGTCATGCGTGCCTGCAGGACAGCATCCTCAGAGTTAAATGTGAGGAGTACTGCGATGTCAGAAAGGACAACTTTGAAACGTTTTTAAAGATCCTCAGTGAGATTCAAGATTCGAGTCTGAATCAAAAGCTGAAAACCCAGAAATGTAAATAGGACCAGCCCCTCCCACAACCCCCCCCCCATTCTTTGTCAACAATACCATCCAGTGAGGTCACACCATGGCTTGCGGGTTTATTACCAGCCTAGCATCTCAATAATGGGCTGGCCAACTATGTTTAAATGTCAGAGTGAAAGCAATCACACATTTTATTTGAAGTTAAACAGTATAAAAGAGGAAGTCAGAAAGTCTCCATTGTTCAGACCAGAAAGATGTTCTTGAAAAATTCTTGTGAAGAATCTGAAAAATCCCTATGTCAAAGCTCTACAATTCACATATAGCCAAAACAAACAAACGAACAAAACCCCGCTATTTGTCTACATGCGAATGCACTTAGTAGCTTTCGCTACACATAAGGCAAATAGACAACATAAGGCAAAGTCTGTCACCATAGTACATCTGTATCTAAGTAATAGATACAAATCTCTAGAAATATTAGCTCTTCTTATAGCAAACTAATATGGCAATTTATCATTGGTTAATGTTTTTTTTTTTTTAAATCTGGGTAGACATGTGGGAAACAAATCAAATTCAAATCCAGCTTCTAATTCAACACACACACAACCTTTGACAAGCAGCTGACACTGTGCTGATACTCACCATACTTTGCTCTCCCAACTTTATGCACAGGCACTGGGCATTAATCCCCTAATACATGCACATGTATTCCCCTCAGGGTCTCGGAGCCACTACAATTAGTTACTACAACAAACTTTAGCCTAATGTTTTGAGTCTGGAGCCCTCCTTACAACAGCATGCCACCTATAAAATAGCTAGAATAAGGGAAAGCCAGTACTACAGGAGTTCCTATAATACAGACCCGAAGGGGAAACCAGGATGAAATGAGCCATACAGAAGGACTGGGGATATAAAGCTAGCAAAGAAAAATGTCTCTTCTCTTTCTTTCCTCCTCCCTTCCTTTCCTTTCCCTCTCTCTCTTTCTCTCTTTTCTTTTCCTTTTTTATTAAAGAAAGGATACAGTCTTAAAGCACCAGTCTGAGTTCCTACTGCCAGAATCTTCTGTACGGGATCAAAGGCCAGGGCTGAGGGCTGATAGGGGAATCCATGGCGAACAGTCTGGGGATGGGCCGTGACGTCACAGGAACCAGGGCAGCAGGCAAAATCCGAAAACAGAACAGCCCACAGGAGCATTAGACTTGGTACCAGATACACTTGACACAAAGCACACACCTCGGAACTTACCACTGTAAGGGGGAGCTGAGGATTGGGGGGGGGGGGGGGCTCTACTCTAAGGATCACAGCACCAGGGAGCACAAAGCTACCTAAGCTCCTGCTTTGCTACAGTGCTAGTAACTCCACAGAGGGCGATTCCCTATGAATAGCGGATACTATTCCGTTTGATGCCACATTACTCAAGTTTGGAGTGCTTCAAAATTCTGTAAAACCCTTGCAAAAGGCGATTCGTGTTGCACCTCAAGAGAAATCATACACATCATAGCTTTATTTGAATGTTAAGGGCGGGGGGGGGGGGGACGGGATTTCTAAGGAAAAGTTGTCAGGAAACTAATGGAAGAATTTAGTCAAAGAAGCAGTAACCTCAGGATCCACATTTGCAATTCTAACGATGGAAATGGTTGCAAAAATTAATCTCACGGTGTTCCACTAAGGCTGGAATAAGTTTAGGACGTAAAAGCAAAAATTGGACACAGGCTTGTAAGCCCCCGACATAGGAAGGGCCAAATAGCTATCTGTGAGACAGGCAGGTCTGGATACAGAGGTTCGTGTGCTTTTCTCTTGCAGCTGGGGAATTAATCCGCTGCATCATTCTTTCTGAATTACAGGGCTGTGCTGCAATCATCGTGCCATCCACAGGGAAAAGAGAGAGAGAGAGAAAGAGAGAGAGAGAGAGAGAGAGAGAGAGAGAGAGAGAGAGAGAGGGAGGGAGGGGGGAGGGAGGGAGAGAGAGAGAGAGAGAGAGAGAGAGAGAGAGAGAGGGAGGGAGGGAGAAAGAGAGAGAGAGGGAGAGAAGAAAAAGATCCCTTTGCACTAACTTTTTAACCAAACAAGCTGAAAAAAATCCTGTGAGTTCAGGTGGGGAGCCTCTCGCCCGCATTCTAAAAAGTGATGCGCAAAAAAAGATCTGGTTGAACAGGTTTGCCTTGCCCACAGACGACGTTCATCACACGGGGCTGGAAAATTTCGACGTCAGTGGAAGATAATAAAACATGCGCGAATATAAAAGTATTTCCAGACCATTGCAACCAGTGTCTGGGTGGGAATTAAAAGACAAGGGCGGTATGCTTGGGGTGCCTTGAAATGATTGTTTTTTTTTTTTTTTTTTTTTTTTTTATGAAAAAAAGGAAAGCCATCGACTAAAAGAAGTAGGGGCTCTCTGGCCCAAATCCCCCATCAAGGCACGTCTGTCCAGGGCGGGGAGGGGTGGGGGGCGCCTTCCTAGAGCTCTGAGCTCTATTGGCGCGCTCTGCCTTCGCGCTCCCAGGTCCTGCCCAGCGGCCCCCTCAAACGACCCCGATCTTCCCGAGACAGCTCGGCGGGGCTGCGCGCTCCCTTCACCTTGCAGAGTTGGAAGTGTTCGGACTGGAGCGTCTCCTGGATCTCGGGCTCCCGGTTCCCAGGCGGGTGCTGCTGCTGTTGCTGCTGTTGCGAGGCCGAGGACGAGCCTGCGGTCAGGCCGTCCAGCACCTTCCTGATGTTGAATTTCCTCATGGTCTGGCCGCCCAGGGGGGCTCTGCCCGCCTGCCCGCCTGTCCGTGTGTCTCCTCGAGGCCCCCGGGGCGGCGGCGGCGGCACCGGGTGGGCAGGAGTCCGAGCCGCTGAAGCACGGCGGCGGCTTCGATCGCGGGGTGCGAAGGAGCGGGGAGCACAAGATAATCCCAACAGGAAGGGCTGCGACGACGACGGCGGGCGCGCGGCGCCGAGTCCTCTTCCTCCGAGGCCGCCGCGGCTGCAGTGGCGCCGGACGCCGCCTCCTCACCTGCTGGCGGCCGGGCTCCCGCCGTCCCGCGCCGCCGCCGCCGCCGCCGCATCCATGGCCCCGCGGCCCCGCAGTCCCTCGGCGCGTCCCGGGCTCGGCCTCCGCTCCTCAGCGCAGCCGCCCGGCCAGCACGGCCCGGGCACCCGGAGCCGCTCCCGCCGCCGCCTGCCGCTCTCTCTCTCCCCCCACTCCCCGGCCGCCCGGACGCTCGCTGTCACCTCCCGGGAGCCTCGGTCCCCGGCCCCCAACGCCCGGCAGAGCAGGCGGCGAGCCCGCGGTTCCAGCGCCGGCCGCGGCGGTGGCGGCAGCTGGGCCTCCGCGGAGCGGGCTGCCCGGTGCGCATGCGCGCCGCCGCCGCCGCCGCCCCCGCCCCCGGCCGCCGGCTTAAATCATCCTCCGCCACCGGCCGGGCAGCAGCTGGCGGACCCGCGAGCTCTCCGCGGCCCGCACCTCCAGCCCCGTCACTCAAGCTCCCCGCCGTGCGCTTTCGGGCTGCTTTGTTTCTGGGCTTGCAATGGACCGAGTGTCCAGGTGACCATTAGGTCGGTCTGTGGCAAGATGACAGCTAGGAGACACCCGGAGGGAAGTCCAGCCTCCTCCGTGAAGGTGTTGCTGGAGGTGAAATCGGGGTGGCAGGTGGCGGCTACACCGGCATAGGTTCCCCCTAAGGGGAAGAACTCCAACGCCCCGACCTTGGTCACCCACCACCCCGAATCCTGTGGGCAGGCAGAGTGCTGGCAGCCAGCACTCCCCGCCGCTGCTTGCAGAGTGCTGTCCACCTGCCAGTTTCGTTAGCCAATCGAAAACCCCTTGGAGCCTCTCCGATCATCACACTGGAGAGGGAGGTGAAATTTTTGCTCAGATCTGCCCGCCAATGTTCCTGCGTGTCTCCACGGGTGCTAAGAGACGGAGGAGTGGTTCAAGTTTGCACGGGTGGAGAGAAATTGGTGCTGGGGGCGGAGAGAGGAATCCCTCTGGCCAGGGATTTCTACAAGCAAAGGTGATGGGGGTTAGATAATCAGAAGGGAAGAAACGCAGGAAGAGCTTCCATAGGGTCAGGGTTCGCAGCCAGAGGCCAGCCCTAGGCTTACTAAGACCCCGCCCCGACCAAGAAACAAAAACAAAAACATAACGCTACCAAGGTTTGTCAGTTCCGTACCCAGATCAGAAGCTCCTCCCTTTGCTTTGTGATTGGCTATTTTCTCCCGTTCAGGACAATCTCCTCACCGTATTGGCCTATGAGCAGACAGAACCTGCCTTCAAGAACAGTCAGCAAACCATTAGGCTTGGGGCTCAGGGCATTTCGGGAATTGTAGTTCTATAGAGTTCTGTGGTCCAAGACTATGCCTTCCACTTGGAACTTCTAAAACTTTGCTTGATGGCTTCATACTTGTTGAAGTAGGAAGTTAAATCACCGAGGGAAGGGAAGGAATCCTGAACTATTTCTGAGCGGCTCTAAACGTCCTTGGGGTTTTGTTGGTTGGTTTTTTAGTTCTCTGAAACACATGTTATTCAGTTCAATACTTTATTTATTGGGTACAAAGGGCTTAAAACACTGTCTCAAGGGGAAAGCCTCACATAACCAAAAGGTAAAACCATATGGGTTCAGAGGTGCAGTGCTGAACAGAGCCCTTGAATTAACCCGGAAAGGCCTAGAAATGGGGATAGCCATCTTAGGCTGAACTAGCAGACAGTGAGCCCGAGAATCAAGGGGAAAAGAACTTCAAAAGGCTGGCAAGGGAGGCTTTTAAAAACTTAACTACCTCGATAGCTTTCTTAAAAATCCAAATGATTCCACACAGCAATCTACAGAACAGGTAGGCCACACCCCTAAATTTTATGACATGCTTTGCCACCTAGGTTTAGAATAAATTTTTTGAGAAAAACCATCATCACTGAATTACAAAACTCCAGGGAGATCACAATTTTCTGTCCAGAGGCCTTGTGACAGAGGAGAAGAGTTCTGGTTTCCATATGCCTGACAAGACCTTCAGTCCAATCCGTGATCGTCTGTGCAAACTTGGGACAAATGTATTTATTTTCATCAAATTGATCATGTGTAGAAATGAGGTCAGTCACTTAAATGGGGGAGCGTGGAGGATAAAACAAAGATGTTAGAGCCCTCTGTTGCTCTTCAAAATTTAGTCCATCAGGATGAAAAGGAAACTTAAGAAGTCACCAGGTTAGGCCAGGCCCCTATTTTTGTTATAGAGTTATTGCTTTGATTGCTATACCTTAGCAATCTCATCATATTCTGAATTCATCCTGCCATTCCCACAACATCAATCCAGAAGAGCCCTAGAATTGAAGATGAATATAAACAGGTTTTACGACATTACAGGACATCAGAACATATCCAGAAATCCATTTAGAAAAAGAAAAAGAAAAAAAAGAAAACAAAACAACAACAACAAAAAAACCAAGACCTTAAATAGTTATTATAATAACAAAAAATAAAATGATGTGTCCTCAAAATCTATTGTAAGATTTATTTTTCTCTTTTGTTTTCTTCGGGTGACCTGCCATCCAGTTCCCAAATAAACAATACACACAGGGAGGCTTATGATTCCTTGTGAACGCCCAGCCTTAGCTTGGCTTGTTTCTAGCCAGCTTTACTTAATGTTAATTATACCATCTACCTTTTGCCTCTGAGCTTTCCCTGTTCTCTTCGGTAAATCTTACTCTTATTCCATGGGTTGCTGGCCCCAACATCCTCCTCTCCTAGGTGCCTTGTTCCTCTTGTTTTGTTTTTCCTCTTCAGTTCTCCATCTATTTATTCTCTCTGTCTGCCAGCCCTGCCTACCTTTGCTCCTGCCTCCCTATTGGCTGTTCAGCTCTTCATTAGGGCCATCATCAGGTGTTTAAAACAGCTTCACAGAGTTAAGCACATGCAGCATACACAGAAGTCACACACCTCAAAATAATATTCTACCACAACCCCCCCTGTTATTTCTTTTTACGGTACATTTATTTTCTTATTCGGAGTGGGGTGGGTGCCCTCAAACACAGGACACTGACAGAGGAGACAACCTTCAGAGTTGGTTTCCTCTTCCATTTTGTGAGTCTGGGGATAGGACTGACTTGACGTAATGCACTTTTAGCCATTGCACCATCTTGCCAGCCCTACTGGTTCTTCTAATGAAACAGTTTCAACTGATTGCTTTTTAAAAGAAAAACTAGGATCGCAAGTTTTAAGAAATAAATATAAAATGTATTAAAGTATGAAAATTTAGCATAGAGTAAAACTTTAGTAACTGATAGTTCAGTTTAATTTTTAGCAGAAAGCATCTAATTTTACCTGTAGTCCTTTCTCAACAAAGATTGTATTTGGTCCTGATCGGATGAAATCAGCATTTTGACTTCAAGCAGTTCAACAGCTTTATGCCTTGGGGCAAATGATAGACTCTTTCCCAAATGGAAGTTTTTCTTACCTACTTATGGGAGAATGAACTGGGATCAGGTGCTATATGTACAGCAAACCACTGCCCACTTATCAATAGGTAGATTGCATTTAGTCCAGTCAGGGTGACATTAAGCAATACACCATTATGAGGCTTGGAATACTAAAAATTCAGAACGGCATAAGTTTCTGAACCTACCAGCCTTCGTTACCAGCTTTAATAGTCACCTGATTAATATGATTATGTCCAGGGGCAGCTGAATGAAGGCTATCTACAGAGGCAGCTTGATGTTGATTGAAATGACCTCTAAGTATTTTCTTTTTAATTTTTGTTTATTGGCAGACTTTCTGGAAAGTGAATGAAATCTACATCACTGACTAACATACATTTTTTATTGACTTAACTTCCGTTTATGAAGCCCCAAAGAATGACAGTAACTGATTCACTGTGTGATTCAATAAAGTATTGAATTTAAATTTAAATTATTTGCCAGTTTCAGCATAGATGTTAATAGTTCAGGCTCTTTTGGGAAAGTGTTTCCTAGATCCTGTTAACACTATGAGCCGGGGTGACTGATTCTAGTCAGGGAATACCATTCTCCAGCTCACAGAATCGGAAGTGGGAATCTAAAATGAGCCAAGCCCACGAATAAGAATTCGGGGAATTTGGAATTGAGTTATGAAGCTTCCAGGTGAGCAGAACTCTGGAGTCTTTTAGAGATAATGCTTGGCGTTTATTTTGCTTCATGAACACTGAAGGTTTGAATGACCAGGGCGCATGAGTCTTGGAGAATAGAAACCATCACGTCATTGACTCCAAGCAGGTAGAAAACAGGGTCGCCATTGCCAGCATGCCAGCATGCTGTCCCCATGTCATTCTCGGCCCCTCCCTTACACAATCATCTGCTGAACAGTCCTTCCCTTTACGGTGTACATTAGCTAAATGCACACCCCCTTTTTAACAGAAATGTAGACTCCATCTGCCTCTGTCAATGAAAGAATGCGGGGCTATGTAGCCATCTTCTGCTGGCCAGTTCTACATCCTCCCATCAGTTCGTTCTACGGTCCAAAGACTACTGCAGTCCTTGGTAATCTGAGTTGGTAATACTGGCCATAAGGGTTAAAAGCAATACCAATGCAAATTGTCAGTCAGATTCTGAATTGCATTTTAAGAGTGGTATGAAGGGTACTTGCTGATGGCATTGGGAGAGAGAAAGGAAAGGAAGAAGACGCACACCTCAAATTCAGCCTGAGGTCAACAAAGGTGAACACTGTAACTTCGTTTCCATGATTATGGCGATTATGGCTCATGGGTAGGTAATTTCCAGTCACAAACACAATCAGCTAAATAAACAAGCCTTACCTGAGAGAA